CCACACACACACAATTTAACGCCTTAGGCTCCACGCACGCACCCACGCGCGCGCAGAGAAAAAGAGGGAAACACGCCGCTCATCCCATAGAAGAAACGAAAATGAAACGGAACGAAATGAATAACAAAACGGGGGGGGGGAACTCACGGCGTCACGCGCTGCGGGTCGCGCGGGAAGAGCGAGACGAGGCGCACGTTGTGGAGGCCGAGGTAGAGCATCACCACCCGCTCGAGACCGACGCCAAAGCCGCCGTGGGGCCATGCGCCGAGGCGAAACGAGTCCACGTAGTCGCTGATGGGCGAAAGATCGACGTTGAGGGCCTTGGCACGCTGCAGCAGCAGGGCGGAGTCGTGGATACGCTGCGCCCCGCTCGATATCTCCTCACCGCGGATAAACATGTCGTACGAGTTGGTGAAGCGTTCGTCGTCGGGGCACTGCATCGTGTAGAAGGGGCGCGCCGCCGAGGGGAAGCGGTCGGAGATGAAGAAGTCCACGCCGTAGCGCTCCCTCACCAGCCTGCCAAGCAGCTTCTCATTGGTGGTGTTGATGTCGTCGGTCGGGGACAACTTCTCCTCCAGGACGGTGTTCAGGAGCTCAATGCAATGCGGGTAGTTGATGCGCAGCATGCGCATCTCCGTGTTGCGAACCCGTGCCTTGTAGACGTCGGTTGGCTCCACGCCGTCCTCAATGACGCCGACGCCGAGCGCCTTGATCGTCTCCGGCGTCAGCTGCCACAGCAGTGGGGCAAACGGGTACTGCTGGCAAATCGCCTCAAGCTCCGCCGTGTGCGTGGCAAGGTTTGCAAACATGTAGGAGAAGAGCTCCTCCGCGGTGTCTAGCACCTCGTAGTAATGCTCGTTAATGCGCATCTCAACGTCTAAGCCTACGAACTCGGTCAGGTGGCGGTGGGTGTTGCTGTTCTCCGCGCGGAAGACGGGTGCCACCTCGAAGACGCGCCCGAAATCGCCTTGCAGCGCCATCTGCTTGTACAGCTGCGGGGACTGCGCCAGGTAGGCGTTGCGGCCGAAGTAGTCCACCTTGAACACGTTGGCGCCCCCCTCACTCGCGGCGGCGATGATCTTCGGGGAGTGGATCTCCACAAAGTCGTGGTCGAGGAGGAACTGACGGAAGTACTGCCCCACCCGGGACTGCATCTTAAAGATGGCGTTTGAGGCCGGGGTGCGGAGGTCCAGCCAGCGGCAGGCGAGCCGGGTGTCGAAGTTAATCTTAATCCCCTCTTCACTCTCACGGCGCGACGCGTCTTCGAGGGTAAACGGCAGCACACGCAACGCCTCGCTCAGCACGTGCACCTTGTGCACCTTCAGCTCGATGTCATGCTGCGTGGTGGAGGTGATGGGCTCCTCCACCCCACACACCGTTGCCTCCACGTCCACGATCGACTCGCACGGAATCTGCCCGATAAAGTCAACCATTTCCTTTGGCACCTCCTCTGCGACGGCCGCCGTGGCCTGAATGGAGTGTCCACCCTCGCGCAGAACCATGAAGGCGAGCTTGCCTTTCTTGCGCGTCGTGTCAACGCGGGCGCGAAGTGTCACGACGGTGCCCACAGACGCTTTGCTCAGCGCAGAAATTTCACTAAACCTCTTGGAGCCGTAAGTGGTGGACTGCAGCAACGGGGCAGTCCCAAAGACGTCGGCGTACTTCGCCAAAAGGGCTGCCTTTTCCGCCGCACGCGCGGCCTCCTCCGCTAAGCGGGCCGCCTTTCGGGCCTCTTTCTCATTCTGCTTTGCCTGCTTTTTTTCGGCGTTCTTGGACGCGGCGTTGCCGCTGTTCTCCTCCGCGCCGTTCGGTGACTTTGGCTTCGCGGGGTCCGACATGCCGCACGTGGAGGAACAGATACGAAGGTGAATACGCGCTCTTTTTGCTTCCTTGCACATGCGTGTGTGTGTGTGAAGGCAAAAAGAAAAAGAAAAAAAAGGGGGAATAGTCGTCGGCCTCGTCTCTGGTGTTCCCAGCGACTCGTGGAGGCGGCGAAGAGGAGGAGGAGGAAGCGGGGGCGGAGGCGGACACGCAGGGGCAGAGAAGAGCAAAGGACCAAGGCGGCCCCCTGCCGGCGGGACTGCATGTTACCGCGCAGCCACAGCAGCCCCTCCCGCCCAGTTGCTGCTGAGGCACTCCAGCCCGGCGTGTCGTGAAGGCAGAGCGCGAGGCCGGCGCCTGTGTGTCCCCCTCTCCTTCCTTTCCAACGCGTTATCTTTTTTCTTTTCCTTTCCAGCTTCGCCTGCGACGGTGCCTAGGCGTCGCCACGGTCGCGTCGCAGGCGTGGTCGCGCCGTGTGTGGCGGCGGCTGGATCATGCTCCCCTCGTATTTTAACTTCGGCCACCGCTGCTGCAGCTCCGCGTCCTCGAGCGGCACCTGCGCCGGCCTCTCGTCGCCGCCGGCCACTTTGGACTCCTCCGAGTGGATGGCGCGCTCGAGGTCCACCTCCGTCTGCAGCCGTCGCAGCAGCGGGGTATTCGCCTCCCCCGCTGCGCCACCGCCTGCCGCCTCCGTGAGGATGAGCCACTCGGAGAGCGAGTTCACAATGTGCCGCAGCCCTATCCGCTTCACGTACTCCCGGTGCACCTCCGGCAGCTTCGTGAGCAGGGCCGCCTCAGAGATGCCTTCCTCGGGGATGCATTGGTACAGCTCTAGAGCCACATCCAGCGGCTGGCGATCCGAGGCGCGTCGAATGCGGGCCTTACGAGGATCCTTCTCTGCGGCATCGTCCACGATGAAGTAGGACGGGTACGAGGCAATCCACGCCAGCACCTTCTTCGGCAGTGAGGGACGCATGGCGGGGGAGACAAGGTCAAGCAACTCCTCCAAATTCAGCGTGCGATGCGGTGGAAACTTGTCAAAGAGTTCATTGATGATATGTGTATGCGTGTACGCGTACTGAATAGGCACGCCAGACGCCTGTGCGTTTGCTGCCGCTGGCGCCGCCGCAACGCCGCTGCTGTCCCCCTCGCCGCCTACGGTTCCTGCCCTTCCCTCCGCCGCGTTCGCGGCAGCGAGAGACGTCGTCGCGGGTGCGGCTTTGCGCGCCTGGGGGATCCATTTTGCCACCTGCAGCATGTCCTGCGAGAGCGACAGGGAACGCCCGTGCGAGCGCAGAAACCCTGCGAAACTCTTGTACTCCCGCTTAATCTGCCGCTTCTGCTCCCGCGTGAGCTGCTCGTAGAGAGAAGTGATGCTCACCCAGTGGGGGATGTCGCTGTCGCACACCTCCTTCGCCACCAGCGCCGCGACGGCGGGAATCGGCGACTCCTCCAGCGTGTAGTCATTAAGCGCAAGCGGGGCGAGGTGCGGCGGTCGGCGGCGAATCATGCCGTCCACCACCTGAAAGAACTCCGGGAACTTTGACGCGATGGAGATGAGGCCGCCCTGGCAGTCAAAGTACGGGTGAAACAAGACATCCTCCGGCACACCCTCCTCCACGTGATCGAGCAACGCGAACTCTTCCGGGACAAGCGCCTTGAGGCGCTCCAGCACCGGCACCTTCTCCTCCAGCCGCACATGCACGGCAGGCGGGGCGCACGCCGGCTTCAGCGCCACGCTCGCGTTTCCCTGCTCAATCGACTCGATGGAGACGATGAACTCCGGGTTGGCGACGTAGTTGATGACGTCGCCCACGTCCGTCATCACGAACTTCTCGTCCGCGGCGCCGCGGCGGGGGTGGCTCAAGTCGTCGCGCAGCTTCACGTCGCAGCGGACCCCGTCGAGGACGCGCAAGTCAAAGAAGAAGCGGTAGCGCTTGAGGAAGGAGAGAAAGCGACCGCGTCCAATAAAGTGTCTGCGGCACTCCTCCGACAGGACCGCCGCCACGCAGTGGATGGGCACGTAGAAGGTGGGAATAAACTCAATGAATGCCGACAACACCTCCTGCGGCGACTTCCACGGCAGGGCGGCGCTGGCAGAGGCGGCAACGGCGCCCGGTAACGGCGGGGGTGGCGGTAATCGGCCGGAGGCGGCGATACGCGGCGGTGTGCCACGGGCTCCTGGCGGCAGCGGCGGCGGAACACGCCGCGCGGCGCAGCGGTGAGTGGCGGCAACGCGGGCAAGCAGACCGCAGGCGGAGAGACCCCGCCGCATGTGTGTGTGTGTGTGTGCGTGTGTGTGTGGCGTGCGCGTACAAATGTGATGTCACGCCTGTTTATTGAAAACCAACAGGCAGGCGAAGGAAAAAACCCTCCCGCCGCCAGCTGCAGCGGGGGAGGAAAAGAGAGAAGAGGGAGGAGGGTGAAAACTCCTTGCCGTCCCGCTCCTGCTGCTCACTTGGTCCGCTTTCAAAACACCAACGGCAACTCGGTTCTGTCACGCGAAAGTAAAAAAAAAGGGGGGGGGAGGGCGAGTGTTGAGAAGAGGCAGAAGAGCAGCGACAGATGGAACGAGCGGGAGCGCAGAGGATGGGAAAGTCAGAGAGGCGGCAAAAAAAAAAGGATGGAGAGGTCTCTCTCAACTTCTCCCTTCTCCTTTACGCTTCCTTCTTTTTTTATCTTATTTTTTTTTTCTGTTGCTCTCCTCTGCTTACCTCGTCTTACTATTCGTCTGCCGCCACCACCACCACCAGCAGCACCAGCACGCACTCGTCGCGGCCCTGCGCTCTCCCCGGACTTTTTTGTTTGTTTGTTTGTTCGTGCTTTTAAGCGGGCCCTGCGCAGTGGGGCAGCCAGACGCTTTTTGTTGTTCTTGTTGCTTCCTTCTCTCTTTTTATACGTGTGTGTGTTTGTGTGCGGCCCGCCTCACACCTCCTCCTCCTTTTTCTTTTGGTTTTCTTTTCGCTTTGTCTTCGGTCTCACGTCTGCGCGGCATTCGGAGCGGCGTTAAGCTCGCGGCGGACCTCGGGCGTCAGCAGGTAGTGGAAGTGCCTGGCGCAGACCTGCTGCAGCAGCCCCACCTGCTCGGCCGTGAGGTCGCCCTTGTAGCGCTGCGTGAAGGAGAGGAGGGTCTGGTGCCAGAGGACGGGCAGCTTCTCCTCCCTGCCGTGGGTGTGCACGAAGCGGTGGAAGTACGCGACGAGCGCGTCCACCGCCTGGTACGGCATCGCCATCTTCTTGTCGATCAGCACACGCAAAAAGACGGAGCGGGGGCCAGAAAACGGCTGCTGCGCCAGCTTCACAATCGTCACGGCGGTGGGGACGGGCGGCAGGTGCGTGCGCTGCAGGAGGCTGGCAACAACGAGGGCCTCCTTCAGCGTGCACTCCTCGTCGGCGGCCAGTGGCAGGATGAACCCCTTAAAGAAGGCCACGGGCTTAAAAAGCGCCTTCCGAATCGCCATGTAAAGCGCCGGGTGAAGTTTCTTCTCGGTCGCCATGCGCTGGTGCGCCATGGGAAGCAGCACCGCGGCGTAGAAGCGTTGCGCCATGCGTTCGTTTAGGTTCGCGGCAAAGATGCGGGTGGCCTGGTACGTGGCATGCGGCGACCACTCGTGCGGCTTCGTCAACATCAACAGTTGCTCCCAGTTCTTAATGTTTGGCAGCACCTTGAAGGCCTTGGGCACCTTGCCTGACTTGTAGTTCTTGAGAATGGTGCCAATGGCGGTGTACACGCGCGCGACGCGTGGGTCTACCCGCTCCTCCTCCTCCCCCTCCGCGACGCTGGCGCCGTCGCGTGCGTCGCCCGCCGCGCCGCGCGCCCCCTCGCGCTCCCTAATCTTCTCCATAATCATGTCCGCCAGGTTGCGGCTCTGCACCCGCGACGGCGGCTGAAACTTTTGCAGCAGCCGCGCCTCCTCGTCGTCGATGCCGTACATGTCCGCCCCCATGTCCATCTCGGAGGGGATTTCCGAGGCAATCGACTCCGCGTCGTCGTACTCGATCACGACCTCCGCGTCCTCCTCGTAGTCCTCGTAGACGCCGCCGCGGCACTCGAGCGCCGCCAGGCCGGGGTCCGCATCGTCCTCCTCGGCGCCGCGCGCGACGGTGCCGAGCTGCTGCTCCTCCTCCGCAATCGCCTCGAGCTGCTGGCGGGCGGTCTTGAGAATTCGGCTCGTTGTGCGGCCGGGCAAAAGAATGCCGTTCGCCTCTGCGTCCCCGTCGTCCTCCGCCGCAGCCGCGTGCCGCTTGGCACTGGCGAAACGGTCGGCGTGCAAGTCCTCCCCGAGCGGGTTCGTTTGGCTCCTCACGCGGCGCCCCTTTTCGCGCCCCGGCATGAGTGAAGCAGAACACTGTCCCCCCCGCCCCCTGCCGCGGGGCGCACACGCGACAAGGAAAGAAAGAATGAGAAGGAAGGAGAAAAGAGAAGGAAAGAGAAAATGAGGATGGGGCAGCGAGGCGGCAACCGCCATGGCTCGCGCGCGCACGCACAGCGCTTGGGCACGGCGGGAACCGCCCGGGCAGCGACGCACCTACACTCGCCCGCCCGCAGCTGCGCCTGTTCGGGTACAGCGCGTCGGGCCGCCGTGGCTCCTCCAGCGGCCGCGAATTCCTTTCAGTGGCTGCCGCACGCGGCGCCAGTGGAGCGTGTGCGTGTGCGTGCACGACGGAGGAACAACAGAAAGGAAAAAAAAAAACGAACAAACCGGAGGAAAGAAGGGCCAGGGAGCATAAGCACGAAACTAAAAAAAAAAAAATTGTTTGAAACGATAGGCCACCGCGCCGGGAGGACGGCAAAGGAAGAAAGAAGGCAGGCGGAAAAAGGCGAAGCGGGGGAAGAGAAACAGCAACCCGCCTCCAAGGCGCGGAGTATAAATAAAAAGAAGTGGGGACTGGAAGGAGGGGGGGGAGGGGGAAAAAAAAGAGCGGGGTACTCCCTTCACACAGCTTACATAAAGTCCTCGGCTTATCCGCTCCCACCCACACGCTACTGCCGCCGTGCCTGCAGCTGTTGTCTGGTTGCCCCTGCTGCACGCTTCGCTCTTCTCTGCGTCTTCGCTGTCGTCGTCGGTGTTTCCTCCCTTCTTTTTATGGACTACTTGTTTGCCGCGGGGCCATCCGTGCCGGCGCCTTCGCTCGGCCGTTGCGGTAGCACAGCAGCTCCTCCGAGCGGCGAACCAGGTCTGTTTGCACGCGACGCAGCCGCTGCTCTTTTGCCGCGATTTTCGTGTCACGCTCCTCCAATATCTTCACCCACTCCGCCACCTTCCGGCCGAGCTCCTCCACCTCGCCGATGCGCCCCTGCAGAGACTGTTCCCGTCCCTTGTGGGCCTCAAGCTCCCTCCGGTACGTCTCCCCACGGGTGATCAGCATGGCCTCCCGCTGCTCATTTCGCCGCTCCAGCTTCGTCAGCGCCTGCCGCTTCTCTCGCACCTCGCGCTGCTGTTCCTCCAGTTCACTTAGCTTCTTTTTCAGCAACCGCTCCTTCTCTGCCACCGCGGCCTTGCGCTCGTGCACGCGTGTGAAGAGCGCCTTGGCAGCACTGCAGTCGGCCAACAGCTGCTGCAGCTGTTGGTCGAGGTTCAACGCGTCCGTGTCGTAGATGGCGGCGGCGGTGCCGCCTGTAGACTCCTTACGACGCAGCGCCTGCTCCCTCCTCAGCAGATCGTCACGGGCCTCAGCAAGTCTAAGCGCCTTATGCCGCTGCGGCAGGACGCGCTTAACGTGCTCAATGTCAACCGTCCGCTGCAACTTCAGCACCGCCTGTTCTGCCATGGATAACCTGTAGTGCGCAGTCTCCAGTGTAGCGAACGGCGGCACCGCCTCCGCGCCTGCGTTCTCTTCCTTTTTTTTCGCCTCCTCCTTGGCCTCCTCTGGGGTTGGGGCGGGCGACGCGGAGGGCGACGCCGTGTTGGTCTCCTCATCGTCGTCCGTGGCCGCGGTGTGGTCGGACGCGCAGGAACCTGCCGCGCGCTGCTGCGGGCAGTCTACGGCGGACGCCTCTCCCGCCCGCTGCAAATTCCGCATCGAGGCCACAATCTCTTCCATGGAGAGCGGCTCGTTGAGGAAGGGGTTCACAAAGGCCGCCTCGTCACTCGCCGAGGAATAGATGGAGGTTGAGTCCTCCTGGCAGCTGGACCCCGCACTACACGATGGCGGCGGCGGCGGCACCGTTCGCTGGTCACCCCCGCCGCCGCTGCTATGGCTGTTACCCCCAGCCGGCGCTACTTCTGCCGCCGACGCTGCTGCTCTTGCGGCGTGCGCCGCGTTGAACTCCGAGGAAAGGTTGCGCTCCAAGCGGGGTGCGGCACCGCCGCCGGTCTCCCCTTCCGTCCTCTGCCACCCCGAGGTGCTTTTGCTACTCTTCTCCTCCGCCCTGTTGGGGGCGGCCGTCTTCTCCGTGCCGGTGACGCCCGTGACGACGCCCATGGCCTCCGCGATGGTGGCGTTGTACAGCTCGAGCCGCTCGCGCAGCAGCTGGATGCGCTTGTTTGATGACATGGGCTCCTCCGCCATATATGCCGGTGGAGTTGGAGGGACAATCGGGTTTCTTTTCCACGACCGCCACACCCGCGCTCTCTAAAACTCTTCTTTATTTTTTTCGTGTCTGCTAGTTTTTTTTTTCTTTTCGTTCGTTATTACGCCGTCCTTTGTTTTATGCGCTCCTCCTCCTCCGCTGCCGCTGCGTGCGCCTGCCCCGCCCGCTCTTGGCCCTGCCGCCCTGCCACGTGAAGTCGGCCCTACTGGCGCCCTTTAGCCCTGCGCAGGTGGCCTGCCTAACACACACAACTGCCACGCAAAGGGGAAAGGCATGAACGGTGAAAGCGGTCAGAAGGAGGAGAACAAAAAAACAAAAGGAAAAAAAGTTGATGCGGAGGCACTCCCCGCCTCTCCCCCTCACACACAGCACTCCCCAAAGGAAGCGACGCGGAAGCCGCTGCGCCGCCTCGCACGCGGCACCACGTGGCGGATGCGGCCTGTCTGCCGCGCGGATGTGTAGCGTACAAGAAACAACGTGAGCGGGTGGAGACGGAGGGGGAGGGCCGCGGCGAAGATGAGGCAAAAACGTGACGCCGTCATGCGGCCGCGCCCCACAGCCTCCCGTCTTTGGCGCTGCGCTTCGCCAACACGCCCGGAACCACCCCGTCGGCACAGACAACGTTCTACGTCTATCCAACATCACGCACACACACACACACATGAGGAGGCAGTCGCGGCCGCAGGAAGGAAAGGCAGGCGACACACAAATATAACAATAATAAAAAGTGGGACGGAGGTGACATACATGGACTACACCCCTCATTCACTTTGCTCGCCCCACCCTCTCGTGCTTTGCTCTGTTTTTTCTTGCGTTTGCTTCTTTGTTAGCTTTTCTGTTGTTGCCACTTTTATTTTTTTTTCCTCTCCCTGGTGGCTCTCTCTGGCAGCCAACTACGCTCACACATACATACACGCACACGCAACCGTGTGTCTACTGGGGGGAGGGGGGCGCCGGGCGAGGCGGCCTCGCAAAAGTAGGGGCGATGCGCATCCACCGAGAGTGCAGCAGCGCATGGACCGCCCAACTGCAGCGACGCGCTGAGCGCAACGCGGAGTGGGACGCATGGTGATGGGGAAGGCGGTGAGAAACACACAAAAAAAACGAGAGTAGGAGAGCCACTCGTTGCGGGCCCCTCCACAGCGTGAATAACCGGCACCACGCGTGCGTCACACCTTCCTTGATGGCGCATATGTGCAGTTTCCCCCGCGCACATGCCTCTTCTCTGCACCGTCCTTCCTTCCCTCTCTCGCTTCCTGTGACTCGGCTTCTCCCTCGCCCTTTATATATATATCTCTCTCTAACGGTGTTGACGGGCACCTCTAAAAAAAAAAGGAGCAAAATATATATATATATATATATATATATATAT